CGCACGTCTGGCCCGACCTCTTCCCCACAGAGGGCCGAGAAGCCGCAGCGCACAGCGCTGGTTCCCCGACAGCGTTCTCAGCGCCGGCCCGTTCTCTGTGATGGCCTCGGTGTGGCGGGCCTCTCTGCCCCTTGCACAGACCCTGCGGGGAGCACTGTGCTGCCTGCCTGTCACCGAGGAGCTCCAGGAGCTTGAGGCCACGTGGAAAGCCAGGGACTGGTCTGGAGGTGGCTGCCCGCTCCACCGCCCGTCTGAGCCTCCTGCTGTCACACACCGAGTGGCTGAGAGAGGACAGCAGCCAGCCCCGGCAGGGCACCCTCGAGCCAACACTGCAGACCAGGAGGGCACCGCGTCCTTCCCTGCCCCGGGCAGAGGAGGGGACTGGGAAGCCACAGTGGAGTCCAGGGCAGGGGGCCCGGCCAGGGCGCTGCCAAGGAAAGATAGCTGCAGCCCTGGCTCTCCGGGCGTGCCAGGAGGGTAGAGAAGCCTGAGGTGGCACTGCTCCCTGGGGGAGTGGGACTGGGCCGCGGTCTCACCGCAATTCCCAGGAGCCACACCATGGCTGTTTCTGTCCCTGCAAGTTCTCAGGCCTCTTCACAGGATGTGTGTGCCCACAGGAAAGCGAGCCAGGGCTCCGGCTTGTCCTTGTCCCTCCTTGTGCCTGGGCTGAGACGTCCCACCCGACGGCCAGGGTCCCGTGTTCTGGCACGGCTGAGCAGTGCGGAGTGAGGGCGCTCAGCGGCACAGGGCCGACATCTTACCCCACAGCAGGGCACGCATGGCGAGAAGGAAGTTCCCCCCAGCCGGGGGCACCCCAGAGCAGGCTGCTGTCCCCTGGGCCTGGCTGCCCCTCTGCGTTCCCTCCTGCTCCACAGCTTCTGCTTCTGTGCTCACCACGTGGTGGAGGTTTGGCTTCCAGTGTGAGCTCTGCCTGGATCGCTCTCCGGTCCCTCGCCTGGCCCTGCCCGGCACGCCTGTGTCCTCAGCCACTCGGCCACTTGCTGAGCGGCGGCCTGTCCGCACACGTCTGGGCGAAGTCCTGGCTGTGGGGCTGAGCCTGCTGGAGTGGAGTGAGACTCCGTCCACACTGGCGCCTGTCGTCCCGCTGCCGGGTCTTAACCACCGCGGAGCTTAAGCAGATGCCCTTTCCTGCTAACCTTGATTTACGGAGCAATTCTGACCCGAACAGCCAGAGAAATCCCTGGGGGCTGCTGCCTTGGATTGATCTGTCATAACTACCAAGAGCGCGGTGTGGATGCTGTCCACCCTGCGGGAGCGCGGGAACAGCCCAGCCAGGAGAGAGCGAGAGCGAGCGTGCGAGCTTCGCTGGGGGAGGCCGCCCGGATGGACGTGGCAGGCAGCAGGTCCCTGCTGAGACCGCGACCTTGAACAGCTCTCCTAGCAGCTCCCCCCTCGTCGTCATCCCCAAACCGTGCCCACGTGGCCCGAGGTCTCCAGGTGGAGTGCAGGCACAGCCGGTGGCCCTGAGCACTGGCTGGGCCCACAAGGGTGACGGTGGGGCCCCTGCTTCCCCATAGTCACCGCTGGTCTGAGCGGCCATGTAGGATGCATGTGCCTGACACGTGTTCAGAGGCAGAGGTGGCCGGGGCAGGGGCGAGAGTCAGAGAGCTGGGCCATGAGGCCCTTGTGAGACAGCCCAGTGTTCAGTTTTTCTGGACCGGAGCTCGTGGGGTCCGCAGGGCCGGCCGCTCCCTTGGTGAGGTGCCAGGCACTCTAGAATGCTGGCAGGAGTCACCGAAAGCACTGTCTGGCCCCAGGAGGCCAGGAAGGCCATGTCCCAAGCTGTCCCTGCTGTGCACAGCTGTCTCGCACCGGACGGCCTTCACACTGGCCGGAGTTCGAGCGTGTCTCCCTGGAGAACCTTCTGTCCGTTTGCAGGGAAACCGACGTTACAAAACGCTTCACCTAACCACAGGTCGTGGGGTCGAACATGCCGGAAACAGTGAGCTCTCCCTTTACTGGAGGACCTTGTGCTACCTAATCGCTCTCTCAAGAAAGCTGTTAAATATCTTTAATGCTGACATCGAAAGGGACAGCCTGGGGGATGGTGGTTAATGGGACTGGACCCCTCATGGCCAACCGTGTGGTTCAAGTCCCTGACCTGGTGACTTAAGAAGCCCACCGGACGTGTGTGTGTGTGTGCCCAGGGCCCAGAGGGAGGGGAGGTGGAGCGTGTGTGTGTGTGCCCAAGGCCTGGGAGGGGAGGTGGAGAAGAGATGGCGACATGACCGTCCCCACAGGTGCCCTCCTTTCCCTCTGCCTCTCTCCAGCATGTGCCCGCTGCCAAAAATTTTATAAAAAAGGAGGGGACTTTCTCTCTCCTCTCTCTTATCCTCTCTTAAATGTGTTATGGGGTCCTGTGCTTCCAGGGGAGGGGAAGGAGGAGGGAAGGTGCCAAGCCCCTGAGGGGCGTGGCCACGCCCTGACACCGCCTCCATTCTCCTCTCAGGGTCTGGGCACACGCACGTTGCCCGGCGTGTTTCTTCAGCGGCCAGGTCCGAGACTTGAGGCCAAGTGGGACCCACCCACCTTACCCACCATGCCCCCGGCTGGCCATCTTTCCCCAGGTAGCGTCTGGTTTGAGTCGTGGAGTGTGAATGCGCCCCTGGCACGGCGAATGCCAACAGCAGACCCAAACAGCAGGCGCCCTCCCAGCGGACGGGCGGTGGAGGCTTGGTGCCTCGGGCCCTGGGGGCGGCCCGGACTGCACACGGCTGTCCCTTCTGCACCTCTCCTGACCGGAAGCCAGGGAGAAAGGCAGATAGCTCCCCACCAAACTGCCCTTGTCTGTGTTTATGCGAAAGCGTCGGTAACTGCTCGGGACACGGTGTGTGTTATGGACCGGGCCCTCACACGTGTGTGCACAGTTCGTGTGCGGGAGCATGCTCTGCGGGAGGGCACAATTTAATGCTCCTTACTTTCCTCCCGGCGCCTCACCGAGCCTGTGGTGGTCTGGTTCATTGCTAAGATCCGAAAATGCCCGGGTCTGGGTGATTTAAGAGAGTGGGGGTTATTTATTCAGCTCAGCGTTCAGAGGGCCGCAGGGTGGGTGTCTCGTTCCACGTGTCTCTCGGGTCTTATTGCCCCTCCGTGTAGGCCCATGGGAGGCCAGCACAGGGCCAGTCACTCCCGAGTCCCACCCCGGGCGCATGGGCGTCAGATTTCCTTCTCATGCCCTCACGAACAAGTCTCAGCGCGTGGCTTTGGGGCACGAGCCGTCGCCGGGTGGGGTGAGCCTTAGCGCGCTAACTGTCCGTGTCGGGCCTCCTTGCTGCTAGGAGGACGGCTCGTCTCACCGAAGCTTAGCCGTCGTTCAGGTAGCCTGTGCTGACACGAGTCTGCCTTGGACAGAGGTGTGACAGTCCAGTCTGTAACCGTGGCCGGCCCTCGTGACCTGTGGCAGGTTGCACTCTCCCAGATTCATCTCTGGACAAGTTTTTTTTAAATTATTTTATTTAACTTTATTTACTTATTTATTACAACTTGACCAGAGAGGGACAGAGCAAGAGTGAGAATGAGAGTGAGAGAAAGTGAGGAAGCAAGCTACCAGGTTGGGGACTTGAACTGCTGTCAGCCATGCTGGAGTCCCGTGCCCTTAACCATCACGCCACCTGCCAGCCCCTGTGTCTGGACAAGTTTTAACCCTGGCCAGATCGTTCTCTCGTCCCAGCAGACTGTCACGGGGAACAGCCGTCCCCGGCCCCACACGCTGCCGTCTTCCCGCGGGCAGCACTGGCGGCCCCTAGGGCTGCGCCGTCCTGAGTCAGGGCTCCTGGGCCCACTCCCAACCCTGTGCGGGAAGATAGGGCCGCACCAAGCTCTAGGCCTCCTGCGTGGTCGCTGCTGCTGGAGAAGTACCATCCTGAAATGCGGAGAGAAAGCCAGACCAGACCTCGGCCTGCCAGGAAGCCGAGGCTGCTGAGGGCCCAGGGGCACGAGGGGCTCGTTCTTGCTGCCGTGTCAGCGCTGGCCCCGCCACACTGCCCTCCCCAGACTGCAACCACGCGGGAGGCCCAGGGTCGCTGCCTGGTCCCACTGAAGGCCGGGCTCAGGGCGTGCGTCTGTATTCCAGGGACACTGGGGGGCCGAGGCAGGAGGGTCTCAAGCTCAAGTCAGCCTAGGTGACAGTCAGACCTGATCGCTTCTTTCTATCTTTCTTTCTTTCTTTCTTTCTATCTTTCTTTCTTTCTTTCTTTCTTTCTTTCTTTCTTTCTTTCTTTCTATCTTTCTTTCTTTCTTTCTTTCTTTCTTTCGAGTTTGCTTTGGGGCATGTTCACTCGCCAGAGAGACAGAGAAACAAAGTGATAAGACACCCCCTTGGGGGGTGGCCATGCCACAATCCCTTCTCCATTTCCCTCTCAGGATCTTGGGCACGCACATGCGCCTGGTGTGAGTTTAACCACCGGGTCTGGGACTCGAACTGCAGTCAACTTTGTGGGAATCCAGTGACGTAACCTATGCCATGTACTGGTCCCAGACCTGATTCCAAAAAGGGGGGTGGTGTTGGAAGGTCACGGCAGAGCAGTCCAGTGAAGGTGGTGCCTGCTCGTGCCAGAGTCAAGCCGGGCGCACTAAGTGGGGGCGGAAGCAAAGCCCGCACCAGTCCCACCTGGCAGGGCTGGTGTGTCTTCACGACCCTCCCAGGTGCACCCGGGCACTGGGACGGTGGGTGGGGCTCCCGGCCGGCAGAGGTGCAACCCCCCCACAGTGAGAGCACCTCCTTTAGCCCATTCAGGACAGGCTCTCCAGAGGGGTCCCGAGGCCGAGGGGCTGGCGGGATCCTGTGTTGCTGTTCCCGGGGGAAGGACCGAGCACAGCGCCCTTCCAGCAGCAGGGCAGTGCGGCCGGCCAGGTTGCGTTGGGAAGGCCACGCCTGCCTTGGCCATGGCTGGGAGCGTTTCCCCGAGACCATCTGCGCTGGAGCGCCGCATCCTAACATGGATGGCAGGTGACGAACATGCCCCACCGCCACCCCACAGGGATCTTCGCCTACATGAACTACAGGGTGCCCCGGACCCGGAGGGAGATCTTCGAGACCCTCATCAAGGGCCTGCAGCGGCTGGAGTACAGAGGCTACGACTCCGCGGGTAGGTGCTGGGCTCCGGCCGGCTGCTGCCCACTTTCCGCCCGGTGGGGACTTACAGCCAGGGGGCTTTTTGGTATTTTTGATATAAAAATAGCTCTTGTTCACTAAAGAAACCTGAAAACTATAGAAAATAGAGTAAATTGCAGATGGCAAGAAATGAGGGCCCAACGGAAAATCCCCACTGGGATTTTCAAAGAACCACTCACTAGGCAGAGGGAGGCGTGGCCAAAGGGAGAGGGGCCGGCCGTGCACGAGCGGGGCCCTCTGCACAGACGGTGCCCAGTGGCCAGTGCTGCATGGCACGCTCGCCTGGCACGCTCGCCCGGCACGTTCGCTGGCCCTGCGGCCGGGAGGAGGCAGGAGCTTCGCACTTGCTGTCAAGCCTCGTCATAGCCACGGCCTCTTCTTTCAAGACAACTGCTGGGATCCGTGGTTCTCCACCTGCGCCCAGGAGGCAGGAACCTCAGGAGACAGCATCGCGCAGCTCGTGAAAAGCGGTGAGAAAGAACTCGCATTCCACCACAAGCCCCTGTCTACACTGCAGGTGTGGCGATCGATGGGCACAGTCAGGAGGTCAAAGGAAGACAGATCCAGCTGGTGAAGAAGCAGGGGAAGGTCACGGCTCTGGACGAGGAGCTTCACAGTAGGTGGAAACCGAGCTCACGGCTGGGCCCTCTGCACGGCCTCCCCGCGAACGCTTGGTCCCAGTAGCACCAGTGCCCATAGGTGACCCGGGTCCATGCTCGGACAAGGAGCGGCTGCGCTGTACTGTAAGAGCCGTGTTTCTGACCGGTGGTTTATTTTACATGGCGGCATAAGGAGAATTTTTAAAATAGTTACGTATGAACGTATGTATTTTTGGAGTTTTTCCGCTATAGGGCGCATGCACTTGCCAGAGAGACAGACAGAAAGCAAGAAATCCCCCCCAGGGGGAATAGCCACTCCACAATCCCTTCTCCATTCTCCTCTCGGGATTTTGGGCACGCACGCACACGCACCCCAGATTCGGGACTTGAACTGCAGTCAACTAAAAGGGAGTCCAGTAACATAACCATTATGCCGTCTGCTGGCCCCAGTTTTGTATTCATTTTAATTTTTCAGGCAAATATTACTTCTCTATATAGGCAGTGATATATGTGCTTGTTAAAGGTAGCTTATTTCAGGTGGGACGTGAGTTATACGTGGCTCATCAGCACCGAGGGAAGGTCAGCACGGTGGCCTGGCCTGGCAGGCGGGGCCTGCTGGGGTGCCGTTGGCCTGGGTGACATGTCACATGGCGATGCCACCTCTCAGCAGCCCTGCAGCAGTGCTGGTTTTAAAGTGTGGCAAACTGGCTCTTCTTCCACCTAGAACAAGACAACATGGACCTGAAGGTGGAGTTTGAGACTCACTTCGGCCTCGCCCACACGCGCTGGGCCACCCACGGGGTCCCCAATGCCGTCAACAGCCACCCCCAGCGCTCAGACAAGGGCAACGGTAGGCAGCGAGTCCCGCCCCACGCCCAGCTGTTCTCCGCGCAGTGGTCCCGCCTGTCCTCGCCGTCCAGTGAGGCAACCGCAGCAGCTTCCACTTCCCTCTGGCTTGCCCGCCTGCCCTGTTTTCCCATGAGGATCCAAACGTCCCCCTGCCCAGCGTCCCAGGCAGTGACCATGGACGGGCAGACTCGGCCCGGCCCTGGATGGGACGATGACGACACTGTATGGCCAGCACTGAGCTGCCTGGAACCCAGCCGCCGCTGTCAGCAGGTGGCAGCATGAGGGGACCCAGGGCCAGGGCCGTGGTCCTCCCCGAGGCCAAGTGTCACAGGAAGGGCTGGGGCATCTTCCTCACTCAGCAAACCCACAGCCTCCCTCGGAGACTGCCAGGGTGAGGCTGGTGGGGCTGGCCTGGCCCTCAAGGAGCCTTGGGCAGCCAAGGGCTAGCGTCGGGGAGCAGGCCGCGCCTGGCCACCCGAGAGCTCTTCCTGCAGCATGCCCTCGGCTTGGCTCACTCCAGTTTTCAAGGTGAGTCAGTGTCCCGAGCGCCCGGACCTGGCATCCTTGAACGCTGGAAGGTAAGAGGACTCGGCTCCGCCCTTGGAGTGCCGCTGGGGACAGTGGGTGGCCATTGGGCTTCCCAGTTCTCCCTGCACGCCAGGCCTAGCTCGCAGGGTGGTCCCCGCCTGGCTCCCACGACGTTCTCCAGGCCCTGTTTCTCTTCAGTGACATCCCAGCCCCCTCCCATGGGGGAGGACCGGGCTGCCTGCAGTTCTCAGAGGCAGCTTTTGGGGCTCTGCGTCAGCCCTGTGTCGAGGCCTCCCATAGCAGGACACAGCAGGCACACGAGACAGGGCAACGTCTAACCCTAGCTCCTCCCCGGCCCTAGAGCAGGCGCGAGCCTACAACGGAACCAGGGCCTTGCAGAGGGCCCCCTGGTCAGGCCTGGTCGGGTCCTGGGAGTGATGGGCAGGGTGTCCAGCCCCAGGTAACTGCTGGCTGCAGCCAGGACCTGCCCAGACACTCCAGCAGGAGTTCTTGCCAGCCCTGTGTTTCCAGGATCAACTACGTCTGCGTGTTTGCTGCGGCGTGTTCGCAGGCGTGTGAGCTACGATCCCCCCTGCCCTTGAGCCTCACGGAAGTTGGGGCCAGGGGGATTGGTGACTGCCCCTGGCCCGCTCCTTGTCCCAGACGACCCCTGTGCTCACGGCAGCGTGCAGCGCGAGCAGGGAGAGGTGCGAAGGGGCCGCTTCCCGCTAAAGCCAGCTCCCCTGCCCAGGCTGGAAGGCGGGGGGCTCTGCAGAGAATCGAGGGGGTGCCCTGCCCACCTGCGCGGCACAGCAGCCGGGGCTGAGTGTCCTCGTGCTCAGAGCCGCTCCGCAGGCGCCTTCGGTCTCGCCCACACCCTCGCAGAGGATGGCCACTCACGGGTCAGGCACCTCCCACGGGGTGGCCGGCAGCAGTCCCCCTGCAGCTGAGGACCGGGGACATGTTTGGCTGAACCCACGTCAGGCGCGGCAGTGCTGGCCGAGAGAGCCCTAGACCTGACCTGCCACAGCCTCTTACCCTGAGTGAGGGGGAACGTGGTCGGAAAGCCCCCACCTCCGTGCGGCCGTGACCCCAGCTGTGTCCCTAAAGCAGGAACGCGCCGAGGAAAGCCCACGCCCAAACGTGGAGACTCCCGCCCGGAGTCAGGATGAGTCACTGGAGAGGAAGCCCGGCTGGGAGCTCAGGGAGCTCGGGTCCCGTCACCCGAAGTGCCTCAGTGAGCCGGAGGGCGCACGTCCGAGGAGGCCTGACGCCCGCCACGACCTCCCCCGGAAGAAACACGGGGAAAACACGACCCTAGGAAACCGACGGCGAGAAGTCAGGGCTGAGGTCGGAGAAAGTATGGCAGATGTCACAGCGTGGAATACAGGCACCAGTTAGGACCAAGGAGCCCAGATAAGGGAGTGGGCCTGGCTCCGAGCCCAGAGATGCAGCTCAGGGCTGGCGCGTTCCCCGGAGGACGGCAGAGCACGTGGGGCAGTGAGGACACCCTGGGCTGGCGCAGAGCCAAGCTGTCGCCCACGCCTGCTACAGTGGTGTTTTTCATCGACCCTCTCATTTTTTAATGTGACCACACAAAAATGAACAATAGATTTTTTTAAAAAATAGGAAGTTATGGTGAAAATAAAAACAATAACAGAAAGGGTTTTGAAATAATAGGAAAAAATGTTTCCTAAATTGAAAAAAAAGCCTTGGAGAGTGAAAGATGGCTGAACGTGGGTCAGGAGCATTCGTGAAGAGCACCGGCGTCTGGGCACGTCGCCCGAGGTTACTGACGGGAGGGCGGGAGAGTCTGCCTTCTGCTACCAGAAAGAAGGGGAAGGGGTCCTTGTCCCGAACCCTCTCTGGCCTTCGGCCTGCGCTCGGAAAACGCGGTGGTGAGGGCAGGCACACCTCGCCCTCGGGCTGCCGGCCCCACCCGTGTGGGCAGCAGGATGGGTGGGGGCGTGCGGCCACTGCTCTGCACACAGACCCTGCCAACCCGCACTCGCCACACTGAGGGACAGTGAGCCCAGGGCGCCAGCGCTGGGCCGGCCCCCCCGGACTCCGGGGTTGTAAATGAGACGTAAACATTCCCACCGCGTGGGCAGCGGTGCAGCGTGGGCTCACGGCTCGCGGGCTCCATGTCAGCTGGCGCCTCTCTCCAGTCTGACACCTGCTGAGAACACCCAGACTGTTTCTGGATAAAGGGTTCATCGCCCCCACCCCACGCGCGTCCCGAATCCTGTGGGTGATCGTGGACGAGCGGAGGGTGCGCGGTCCGGCGGGGCGGGGTGCTGGCGGACAGAGGGGGCACGTTCTCCCAGCCCGGGTCCCCATCGCTGGACAGCTCGTGCCACAGAGGTCTGGAAGGAACGGGGTTCGTAGGCTGCCAGCCGCCAAACCGTTTCCCTCGGCGTCCGCCTCGCCCTTCACTCTTAGCAACGTCTCCTTTCAGAGTTCGTCGTCATCCATAACGGGATCATCACGAACTACAAAGACCTGAAGAAGTTTCTGGTAAGACACTTCCCCTCGGCGCACGCGCGGAGTGGCTTCCCTCTTCCCCCTGGGCCCGCAGTCAGCCGGTCACAGCCTTGAGCCGAAGCCTGGTCCAGACCTGACCAGCAAGGAGACACGGGGCATTAGCCTTTGCTGAGAGCCCCTCCACCCTGGGGGGCTAGACGCATTCCTGGAAGGTGTGTGGGTGGGCCTTTGCTGAGAGCCCCTCCACCCTGGGGGGCTAGACGCATTCCTGGAAGGTGTGTGGGTGGGCGGCACCACAAGGTCCCGGTGGCCGCGCCCTGTCCGGGCGTGGCAGGTTTGACTCCCCGCTTGGCATCCGACTTGTTCTTGTGCAATGTCCAGATCAGCGCGCGGCCGGCTCGGAGCAGGGCGCTCCAGGAGTGCGGGTGACTCGGGGGTGCTGCTCCGCCTGCCAGACTGTCTTCTTCCCTGCCCGTTTTCCTTGTTCTTGCCCTAAGTCCCTCCAGGGCAGGTCACGGGGAGGGCCCGGCAGCGTGTGGACGGCCGCCCCCTGAGACCCGTGCCCTTTCTCTGTCCCAGGAGAGCAAGGGCTATGAGTTTGAGTCCGAGACCGACACGGAGGCCATCGCCAAGCTGATCAAGTACGTGTTCGACCACAGAGAGGCCGAGGACGGCACGTTCTCCATGCTGGCCGAGAGGGTCATCCAGCAGCTGGTGAGTGCGGCCCGCCGTCCCGCTCCGCCCTGCACCTGTTCGGGTAGCAGACATCAGCGGGGGGCCTCTGAGGGATGACTGCCGTGGCGACTTGTTCGCTGACAGGCACGTGGGGTGGAGTGCAGGCCAGGGCGCCTCTGCGTGTTTGTGAGGGGTCTGAGAGCGCTCTGCAGGCCAAGGGGTATGACCTGGGAGAGAACGCCAGAGAGCAAGCCCCCGGGGGGCCGGGCCGCAGCTAAGCTGGAAACAGGGCGCACACTGGGGTCTGTCCGAGAGCTGGTTCTTCCTTGGAGGAGAGGCAGAGCAGATGCAGGCCCTGGGGCGGGCAGGGAGGAGAGTGTGCAGACATTTCAGAGACCCACCGGGGCGGTGCAGCTGGGGGTCAGTGTTCAGGGCCAGGACTAGCCCCCCGGCTCAGAGCTCGCACAGCACTGGACTGTGGTTTTAAATACAGCATCCTTGACCAGCGGACGGGGTAATGGTTACGTCGCTGGACTCCCAGGTAGTCGACTGTGGTTCAAATCTTGAACCCAGCACCTTAAAAAACTCACACCGGGTGTGTGCGTGCGTGCCCAAAATCCGAGAGGAGAAGGGATTGTGGTGTGGCCATCCCTTTTGGGGGTGATTTCTCTCTTTCTGTCTCTGTCTCTCCAGTGAGCACATGTACCCTATAGCAAAAATCTATCTAAAAAATAAAACAAAATACAGCGCCCCTGAGTGGCATTTTTGGAGACTTTAGAAAGTAAGCCTACTGTCAACATCCTCTGTCTGTGGCTTCTGCTCAGGGCGGTAATGGGGAGGACGTTTGTCAGAGCCCACCCCACACTCGGCCACGGCGTAGGCGCCGCGGGCCGCGCAGGAAGCCGTGCTGGCGTGCTGGCATTGCAACACTGGTTTTCTTCTGTTCCGTTTGTAATTAAAAATTTTGGAAATTCCTCCGCGATAATGGAACTTTTAAACTTGAACTTTTCTGAGCAGAAGCGACTTGGGGCTCTGGCAGAGCTGGGCAGAGCTCCCCTCCTCAGTCCTCTGCTGGTGACAGAGCAGCACAGTCCGCCTGACGCCCCTTCCTTTCCAAAGGCTTGGAGGCCCTCTGGGGCCTGGGCACCACCTCTGGGCCCCGCTGGCCACGCAGCTTAGCTGCCGGTTGACAGAGGCCTGGGGTCTGCCCGGGTCCTGGACTGGGCTCCTCGTGGCCCGTGGTCTGTGTTGTGCACAGCGTGACCCACAGGCCCCATCTCTGGGCTTCAGCATGTGCCTTGTGTCCTTTTCCCTCTCGATATCACCCTGAGCAAGCCGTTCCTGCGCTCAGCACCCAGCACTGCAGGGCGCCCCGGGAGGAGGGTGGGAGGCCGGCCTGCGGGGCATGGCAGCCAAGGGCTGCTCCTCACCGCCTGCCTGTGTTTCAGGAAGGTGCCTTTGCGCTGGTTTTCAAGAGCATCCACTACCCAGGAGAAGCCGTGGCCACCAGGTGAGACACGACGCGTCAGCATTTCCGAATGAGTGAACAAGTGATGGGAAGTCACGTAGCCTGGGGCAGTGGGGGTGGGGGTTCCGTAAACCGGGAGGACTGGCCCACTGTCTGCGCTGGCAGGACTAAAGCTTCCGGTTTTTATTTCTTAAAGAGATACCAGGAAGTTGGATTTCTATGTGAAAAATCTCCATATTCTAAAAAGACACGTGAGGGTTGACAACATGGAGCCAGATGGTGGTGCAGCAGTAGAGCACAGTGCTGTGTGAGGCCATTCCATGGGGAAAGTTCCTGGTTCGAATCCAGACACTTCCCTGAGTACTCCGAGCACACCTGACCAGCATCCCAACCAGCTGAAGGCAGGGGTGCACTGCGGCTTCAGGATCCTGCGGGGTGAAGGCAGGGGTGCACTGTGGCTTCAGGACCCCGCGGGGCGAAGGCAGGGGTGCATTGCGGCTTTAGGACCCTGTTGAGCGTGCTGTCTCTCTGTCTCTCTGTCTCTTTTGCTCATGGAAGAAATAAGTAAACTTAAAAAAAAGTCAACAGGACTGGCCTGTAGTTGAGAAGGTAAGCCCACTGTACCAGGAGTTGGGTCTCATGTGACAGGTTCATCCCGGCCCTGGATGCTCGAAAACATACCAGTCACATGTGCGTGGTCGGAGGGAGAAAGGGAGGGAAAGGTGGAGAAGGTGTGACACGCCCCATGGGAGGGGACCTGCTCGTGCCCCTGACCCCTGCGCGCTCACAGCCGTCTGGCAATTAGTTTTACAAGTTGATCATAAATGTAAGTCACCAAATAAAATGGTAGGCTGTGCTGGCTGACGTGCCTCTCAGTAGGCTGAGGCCACACGGGCCGCGCAGCATCCCGGCATGTGCGCCCAGCCCTGGCTACTGCAGCGGCTGAGGCAGGAGGGCCACGGCGTAACGAGACCCTGGGTAAGAATGCGTGTACGTATAGAGAGACAGCGAGAGACAGCGAGAGCGCGAGAGACAGCGAGAACACGCGGATCCAGGTCTGTGGGGCTCAAAGCCTACACAGCCTGGGGGAGTCCTTTTAAGAAAACGCATGCAAAGTTCTAAACGACAAGGAGCACCCACAGTGGGCACTGTCGGAGCCAGCACGTAAGAGGCATTAAAGAAGGGTACGAGCACCAGGGCCTCCGCACGGCACCCTGGGATCAGCACCAGGGCCTCCACACAGGGACGCCTGGACTCAGCATCAGGGCCTCCACACAGGGACGCCTGGACTCAGCATCAGGGCCTCCACACAGGGACGCCTGGACTCAGCATCAGGGCCTCTGCACTGGCACCCTGGACTGAGCGCCTGGGCCTCCTTATGGGCACCCTGGACTCAGCACCAGGGCTTTCGCATGGGCACCCTGGGATCAGCACCAGGGCCTCTGCACGGGCACCCTGGACTCAGCACCAGGGCCTTCACACGGGCACCCTGGACTGAGCGCCAGGGCCTCCATGTGGGGACGCCTGGACTTGGCGCCAGGACCTTTGCACGGACACCCTGGACTCGGCGTCTGCAGTGCAGCTCTCACGGGTTTGTGTGCCCAAGGGCAAACATCGTGTGTAGAGGGCTTAGGCTTGGTGGTTAAGGGGCTGGGTCCCACCTGCTGGAGGTATACCCTCCATGGTTTAGGGTTAGGGTCCTGGAACCTCTTCCTGGGATGAGGAAGGATCAGTTGGTTGATGCCCACTAGGGCTGGAGAACCCCGAGCGAGGGCGGGGTGGGGGCACCGAAGGGGCCGCTGGCTGTCTGGGGTGGGCTCCGGTCTCCAGATGTGCCACATGCAAAGGCCGAGAGTGGCCGAAGTGCTCCCGGCCTACTCTGTGGGGACCGCCTCCTCTGGGCCGACCATGTGGAGTCACACATGGGGAGTCAGTGAACTGGAGGAGCCCCGGGCCCAGGGCGTGTGCAGGACGGGTCCCAGACTGTCGGGCGGCCGGCGCTGCGGGGGACTCATGTCCAAGTGTCCCTCTCCAAAAATCAAGAGTGTCTTCTGTCCCATGGGACCTAAACGTGGTTCCCTGCCAGGGTGGGCCAGGCGCAGGTCCCGCCGCAGCTGCCAGGACTGGCCCAGGTGGTCTGACACGCTCTCTCCCCGCAGGAGGGGCAGCCCTCTGCTCATCGGCGTTCACAGCAAGTACAAGCTCTCCACCGAGGAGGTCCCCATCGTGTACCGCACATGTAAGTTCCCGGAGGCCGGGGTGGTGCAGCTCCGACCAGGGCCCCAGCGTCCCAGGGCCTGCAGCCGCCCTGCTGTGCTCAGTTCCCCTCCGGGGCAAGGAAGGGTCTAAAGGTGTTCACGGAGCTGGGCCGGTTTTAAAAGCGCCCCTGTACAGACATCCTCCAACATACACTAACGTGACCGCACACTCTGTGCGTGAGGGCCTGTGCCCGGAGCTGAGCGGCCCTCCGGCCCGGGCCTGCATGCGTTGCTCTTGCGCGCGCTGTCTAGCGCTCTTGCCCTGGCCCTGTGCTATTTGAGGCTCTTTTACACGATTTGGCTGATGCAGCCGAGCTGGAAACTGCAGGTTTCTCCCACACACACGAGGGGGAAGCGGCTCTTCGCGCACGCTGTGTGAGAATGAGCAGTCTGAGGGCCCTGGGTCCCCTCCACTCATTAGGCAACATCGAGAACGCGAAGAACGCCTGTAAGTCGAGGGTGAAGAGGCTCGACAGCACGACCTGCCTTCACGCCGAGGGTGACAAAGCAGTGGAGTTCTTCTTCGCTTCTGATGCAAGGTAGCTGAGCCTCCCACCTTTCTTCCCAGGGATTCTGTGTCAAAGAGTCGTTGTCTACACCCCGCATTTCCTCCTGATCTCCAGGGAGATCCAGGCACTCCCAGGCTATCTGAAACGGAGAGCTGTGAGTCCCCCTCCCTGTCCCACGCTGTCTTCCTATCTGAATGAATCTGAAAACAAATCTAATCGCTCCTCTTTCCACCCGGCTGCCAGGAGGGCCTTGCAGTGACACAGAGCAGAAGCAGGGTCAGTCTCCTGGGACCCTGGGAGTGATGGGACCTGGAGCCAGGCTGTCTGACGAGTTTCTTAGGGCACCATTTCATTGAGGAGCTAAGCTCATTTAAACGAGGGCCAGCAGGTGGCATGGTGGTTAGGGTGCTGTATCCCACGTGGCCGACTGTGCAGTTTGAGTCTCGGACCTTTCATGGTTTGAAAATCATGCCGGGCACATGTGTATGTGTGCCCGAACTCCCTAGAGGAGAAGGAAGGAAAAGAGATTGTGGGATGGCAACCCCCGCGCTGATTTCTCACATTCTCTCTTTCTCTCTCTGTCTCTGGTGAGTGTACAGGCAAAACTATGTTTAAAAAAGATTATTTTAATGATTCTAAGATACAAGTATTTTAGGGATTTTAGATCTATTGGATGTTGGAAAAGTCCTGAAGTCGTTTTTATGTTTTTCTATACAGAAATGCTCATGGCTTTTCCAACAACCCGACATAAGTGGCATCTCACCATCATAATTTGCTGAAGTTTCTAGTCTTAGAGGTGGTTAAATGATTGTGTCTTACAATCGCGGCACTTACGTTCAGTTGAAATGTGGGGATGTTTCTCAAAACCGAAACAAGGCCGAGATGTCCGACAGGCCCTGAAGTAATCAGTGATTGCAGGTGGTGCAGTGATGCGCTTTGTAAGTCCCGCCGGAAAGGCTGGTCCGAGAACGGAGACGCAGAAGTCCCACACCCATGCCGGCCACGGAGCCGTCAGGCCAGTGCGGGGACCGTCCCCCGCTGCATCGCACATGATGGGCATGGCGGCTCTCACGGCTGTCCGCCAGCAGTGACCAGCAGCGCTCGGCAGGGCGGGAAGGCATGCTCCAGTCCCGTCCGCAGAGGGTGTTTTAGTAAAAATACTCTGGAACCTGCTGGGAGAGGTTTACCGTGAGAAAGAGAGGTCTGGCCCCGGGGCACACATGTTGACCACGGTTTGAATCCCCAGCCCACAGCCTGAACCACACTGGGAGGGGGTCACGTGGTGACCTGCCCCTGGGGGCGCTCCTGTCTCTCCCATCCTGGTCACATACGAGGCACACGCTTGGTGCTGAAGAAAAGAACACAGTTTTTTAAAAGAAACAAGAACAAAGGGAGAGTCCACTTTTCTTGATAAAAACGATTCATGTTATTTTTTTAATGAATGGATTTAAGTTTTAAAATTAACACAAATTATTTCTTTTTAATCTTGAGTTGCCCCCAAATTAATCTGAAAAGTCAGAGCTATAATTAAAGGCCTCAAGATCTTTGCTTGTTTGGGCTTTGGGAACTTAGAGGGGCTACCATTTCTGGTGCAGACGGGGAAGCCAGGCCACCGAGGAAGGAGGAGGGCGGGGCGCCCCAGACACGCTCCCGCTCCTGGGAGCCAGCCCCGTGCACTCGGCGCTTGGCCCGGTCTCCCCTCTCTAGTCGTAGCCAGCCTCTGGGGGACACAGCAACCACTCCTGGTGGGCTCAGAGGGTGCCCACATGGCCTGCGGCCACAAGGCCATCAGAGACAGGAGGGCGCCCCGGGCTCGTCCAGCTCCTGGGCCGGTGGTCCTGGTCACTAGATTGTGTTCCCATTCGTTCTGTGCATTCAAATCCAAGCGCTTCTATTTGAGCACACGTGTGCGTGCACACATACATGTGAACACGCCTGCACCGAGCGCTGTTAGGCAGGCCGTGCCGCACGCTCCACAGCCCAATCTCGGGGACAGTCGCCTCGTCCTGGCCCGGGCTCTGCCTCCTCGTCCGCCGGCTGGCCTCGCTGCGGCGTTACTGGGGTCCCGGTGGCTCTGCGTCCTTCAGCTGTGGGGGAGGTTTTCCTCCTGAGAGCCCGAAGCGCCTCACATCCTCTTACCTTTGAGTCCGTAGTTTTAAATGTCTGCTGCTTGGAAGGCCCGTGGCAAGGGCTCGCAGAATGAGGGGTCTTTCAGCTTTTCACTTCCTGATTTTGACAGCTGTCGAAGATCCTGAATGAGAGCTGTTAATTGCGAGTTCATGAATTAATTATTCTGATTCTCTTACTCTGTTTTCGGTAGCTGCACTTCTGTGGAGAACTTGCCTTGCTAAACTGTGGGGTCATTCAGAAAGGTTGTTTGAAAGGCAAGCCAGCGTCACCCCTCCCCTTCACAGTGCAGGGCTCCTGAGTCGTCTCTAAAGGTGACATCGTTTGGCTCCTGGTGTAAGGAGGCCAGTTACAAAAATCACTTCCACAAGATTACTGGAAAAGTGAGGGCACACGGGATGGTGGGTGATATGGGAAATAACTTCCCTTCGGATACGACTGTAGTATTGTAATAGGTTTCTTAAACGGTCCTCTTCTTTTTAAAGATATCAGTGAAAGTGTTTACAAAGCGATGACAGAGCATCTGGGAAGGCCTCAGAGTAGTTCCGAGAGAGGTGGGGGTGGTCACCGCAGAGCGATGGTTCCAGCGTGTCGTCCCGGGCCCCTGGGTGGGAACAGCGAGCGACTGCGCCTGGTCACGGGCGGAGGCCACCCCAACACCCCGTTGTCCTTGCTCCAGTGCCATCATAGAGCACACCAACCGCGTCATCTTCCTGGAGGACGACGACATAGCCGCAGTGGCTGATGGGAAGCTGTCCATCCACCGGGTCAAGCGCTCGGCTGGCGACGACCCGTCTCGGGCCATCCAGACCTTGCAGATGGAGCTGCAGCACATCATGCGAGGCAGGTGCCCGAGCATACCCAGCCCCCCTCGCCTGCCCGCCCTACCCCTGCCCGGGGGCACAACCTTCCATCCGCCCTGGCTGCTGGGCCGGGCTGGGCTGGGCTGGGGCTGCCGGTGGCCTCAGCTAGAAAAACTGGGGTGGGACGGGGAGTCCTGCTCAGCCTGACCCCAGCTCGTCGGCCCACTCCCCAGGAGAGGCTGGGCCCGTTGTTACTCTGCTAGGGGCCGGGAGTCTGCGGTCACTGGCGCTGTGGGCCCTCCCCTGGAGAGGAGCCTGTCTCTGCCGCTCCCTGGCCCCCACAGCCTGTGCTCCTCCAGTGAAATCGGGTCCCATCGTTAACCCAGTGCTCAAAGCCTCCAGGGGCTGTCAGCGTTCCTAGGACAAACCCCACACTCCTCGCCGTGGCCCTCAGCCCACCAGCACCGGGCCACACCAAAACCTGGCCTACTGCACCCAGCCCGCCCTGGCACAGCGCCGCCTGCCCTGCCCGTTACCCGGCAGAGCACGGGTCCTCACGTTCACTCCGCCGTGGGACTGGCTGTTTCACTGTCTCCAGCTCCCCGAAGGCCCTTCCACGAGCCCTTCTCTGACCCAGTGTCTGCCCCCCCATCACTCGCTTCATTTGCTTGGGGGCTCCCTGTGGGTGCCGGTGGTGGTCGGCAACAGCGATCGCCCTGTCCTCAGCATCACACGTCATGTACCCTGGAGAGTGGTGCCCGCCATGGCGCTGGGTACCTCTGAAGCCATGCAACAGCTGGGCCAGGAGCTGAGCATCCTGACCTCGGCCCTCAGCTCAGAGCCCAGGGACGCACACGAAACTCGAGCGGGCTTCATCACAAGCCGGGAGGGTATCCGTTACATGGACGGGTGACCGCTTGACAGAGCCAGGCCAAGCCCGCCTCTCTGGGCTGACTCAGCCTGGGCTTCCTAAGTGGGTGGCGTCTTAGAAGCAGAGTATTTTTGCTTTCTCCTGGCCTGGTAAGGAACTGCGGCCGGGGACCAGCCACTCCCGCTGAGGGGCTGAGGTGTAATTGGAGAATGCCATTGTGTCCTACCTGCTTCCCTCTGAGTGGCCCCTGTGACTTGGAACGGTGACCTGGGGACACCCTTTGGGATGTGGGATGCAGTGGTGTCCCTGCCACACGCACCGTGGCTTTTCCTCCGTTAGAAGTTGAGCTGCAGAATCTGAGTTAAAACTGACCAGCTTGGGGCCAGCGAGTGGCATAGTGGTTAAAGCACTGGACTCCCACATGCGTGACCACAGTTCGAGTCCCAGATCTGGCGGCTTGAAACCACACTGGGCGCGTGTGTGTGTGAGGGGACTGTGGCACGGCCATCCCCCTGGGGGGGGCCCACTCTCCCTCTCTCTGTCCCTCTCCAGCAAGTGCACGTGCCCTGTGGTAAAAACCCGGGGAAAGAATCAAAACTGAGCAGCCGTGTGGGTGTTTACCGACAGGCAACTTCAGCGCGTTCATGCAGAAGGAGATCTTCGAGCAGCCGGAGTCGGTCTTCAACACCATGAGAGGCCGGGTGGACTTCGAGACCAACACAGGTAACTGCTCCGCTCCGTGGGCCGCCCCACGCTCGCGACGGGGCCCCCGGGAGAGGCCACTCCGCCGTGGGACTGGCTGTTTCACTGTCTCCAGCTCCCCGAAGGCCCTTCCACGAGCCCTTCTCTGACCCAGTGTCTGCCCCCCCATCACTCGCTTCATTTGCTTGGGGGCTCCCTGTGGGTGCCGGTGGTGGTCGGCAACAGCGATCGCCCTGTCCTCAGCATCACACGTCATGTACCCTGGAGAGTGGTGCCCGCCATGGCGCTGGGTACCTCTGAAGCCATGCAACAGCTGGGCCAGGAGCTGAGCATCCTGACCTCGGCCCTCAGCTCAGAGCCCAGGGACGCACACGAGGCTCGAGCGGGCTTCATCACAAGCCGGGAGGGTATCCGTTACATGGACGGGTGACCGCTTGACAGAGCCAGGCCAAGCCCGCCTCTCTGGGCTGACTCAGCCTGGGCTTCCTAAGTGGGTGGCGTCTTAGAAGCAGAGTATTTTTGCTTTCTCCTGGCCTGGTAAGGAACTGCGGCCGGGGACCAGCCACTCCCGCTGAGGGGCTGAGGTGTAATTGGAGAATGCCATTGTGTCCTACCTGCTTCCCTCTGAGTGGCCCCTGTGACTTGGAACGGTGACCTGGGGACACCCTTTGGGATGTGGGATGCAGTGGTGTCCCTGCCACACGCACCGTGGCTTTTCCTCCGTTAGAAGTTGAGCTGCAGAATCTGAGTTAAAACTGACCAGCTTGGGGCCAGCGAGTGGCATAGTGGTTAAAGCACTGGACTCCCACATGCGTGACCACAGTTCGAGTCCCAGATCTGGCGGCTTGAAACCACACTGGGCGCGTGTGTGTGTGAGGGGACTGTGGCACGGCCATCCCCCTGGGGGGGGCCCACTCTCCCTCTCTCTGTCCCTCTCCAGCAAGTGCACGTGCCCTGTGGTAAAAACCCGGGGAAAGAATCAAAACTGAGCAGCCGTGTGGGTGTTTACCGACAGGCAACTTCAGCGCGTTCATGCAGAAGGAGATCTTCGAGCAGCCGGAGTCGGTCTTCAACACCATGAGAGGCCGGGTGGACTTCGAGACCAACACAGGTAACTGCTCCGCTCCGTGGGCCGCCCCACGCTCGCGACGGGGCCCCCGGGAGAGGCCGCCCTCACGCCCGCCCTGTGCCGCAGTGCTCCTGGGGGGCCTGAAGGACCACCTGAAGGAGTGCCGCCGCCTCTTCGTGAGCGGCTGCGGGACCAGCTACCACGCCGCTGTGGCCGTGAGTGTGGCGGCCCTGGGGCGCAGGACTGGGGGTCTGAAGTGGGCTCATGCATGTGGCCTCCGACCGGGGGAAGCCCTGGCACCCGCTCCCATGAGCCCGACGAGAACTGTCACCAAGGCCTTTCTCCCGAGAGGTGGCTTGTGAGCGACAAGGTCCTCTCACCACCGGACAGCGAAGCGCCATGTCACAGACTGTCCCTAGAAGCGCATCTGCCCGGCATCCCCGCGTCCCCGCGTCTGACGCAGTCTCCGTTCTCCTTGGGCTTAGACGCGGCAAGTCCTGGAGGAGCTGACGGAGCTCCCGGTGATGGTCGAACTCGCCAGTGACTTTCTGGACAGGAACACGCCGGTCTTCAGGGACGACGTGTGCTTCTTCATCAGCCAGTCCGGTGAGGGCGGTGGCGGGCCGGGCCGCGCTGGTCCTCCGCTGCCCGGCGCTCCTTCCCCAGTCCAGCCCCCGGCCCACACTTCCCGCACCCTGCCCACGTGTGCGCCGGGCCCTGAATCCTGGCTGCCATCACTGGCTGGGGGCCCCGCTGGGGGGGCACAGCCCGGCCAG